ACCTTTCCCAGGTAAATTGAATAATGGGCACAAATTCAGTCCATGTTTTAGACAATAATAAAAGATCTCCTGATTTTTTGGAAACTTCAAAGAAAGCCAAGACCAGTATGCAATCCCAAATCAGTCTGCATGTTGTGATAAATTCAATGTATCACAGAAATCCAGTAATACCAAGAAAAACTTTTTAGACGCGTCAATGTGGAGAAAACTGTACTTTAACTATATCAATGAAGTTCCCGTGTGCTAAGAGTAAAACTATTGAGCTAAATGTTAAAATACATAGCAAATGTGACTAAATATTTCTGAAAGAACAGCTGAATGTCATCACATATTGCTGTGTATTACTTTATTTTACACAACAATGTCCAAGAAAAAAATAATTAACCATTGTTTCCCTTATTTTAAAAAATTACAGCATGTTAGCAACTTTTAAAGCTCTTACAAAGCCAGGTTAGCATTTAGCTTGTAGCATGTGTGCCTAGGTATAGCTGTAGTTTGTAACTTTAAAAAAATATGTTTTTACATATTTGTTAAAACTGTCGCCTTGTCATGACATGGTGACAGACAATCTGTGAAATGATTGGTCTCGTTCTTCAGATACTATTCCTGTCTGAAGTAATGCACCATTCACGATCAAAAACAACCACTCAGAGCCAGGAGGAGGGTCTTAACGATGCCAATCAACCTGGTGAACGTGCTGCTAAATGTGTTAATGGTGGATAAATAATTTATCATTGCAGAAAAACTGCTTATCCACCATCATTGGCTGTACTGTAGCAAAGAAGAAGGGGATGGGAGGAGCAGCATGCAAATTGGAATGATTGGCAGCACTTAGACCCACCCCTTGGCTCTGATTGGCTGTTTCTAGTTAGCACTGGAAGAAGGCAGAAAAGCTAGATTTTTTTCCACAAACTCATACAATACTGTCACAATGTAGTGACAGTTTCAACAAATATTCAAACACATCTTTTATAAAAGTTACATACTGTACGATATTCGAATGCCGCTACAGTAAAATCCAGCAGCACAAATTTGAATTTCTTCCTCTCAAACCATATGAAGACACAGCCTTAGGGACGCCGTTTGAAAGGATAGACAGAAGCTTTGAATTTTATTGTAACAAAAGCTTCAGTGAACTGTCAATCAGAGCGAGACAGGCCATTGTAAAACCAGTTGTCTGTACATCTCAAGCAGCGGACATCAAATGCAGGCGGACGCTTCCACCGGACAGCTCTCAGCCTCAAGGTTAGACAGCTTCTCCTCATTCATTCCCGTTTTCATCCTGCCCTTCTCCATTCCCTACATCTCTCCTGTGTGATGATTTAATACCACCTGTCAGTTTCTCCTCTCCTTCTACCCTTACCCCCCTTATGTTAACGTCCTTCTGTATTCCCCGATCTTTCTGGCTCATCCTGATGCAGCCAGAGTGGAGCTTGGATGTAAACAGCAACTGCAGGCCATGCAAAGTGATCTCATTATGCAGGACTGCAGGGTAAACTGTCTTACCCAATTTAACAACTATCCTTCCCCTTACAAACTTTTCAGCTACATCAGGGTCAAACAAGCAATTAAGGGGGCAATTGTCTAAACAGAATGCCAGCAGAATTAAAGAAACAATTAATTAAGCATTAAAGAATTACATGAACCAGTTGTAATTGTTTTGCTCTGACAAACCTCTCGAGTGTAGAAGCAACATTTACCCATATTATATCAATAATTAATATGACTTCAAGCAGAAGTGAAGTATGTATTATTGTGTGACGGCACAGTATTACTTGAGAAATGTCGTTTTTTAATTGCCTAAACACAATGAAGGCATCTAAAAAGGCTGTTTTTTTTAAAAAATGGTAAAAAAAAAAAAAAAAGTAAATGTTGCACATCATTATGCAGCTTGTAGACATGTTGGCTGCAATTATCTGGTTGCATTAGTGTGTGCATCCTAAACTACTGAAGCACAGGAGAAAAGCAATTTTAGTAAAAGATGGGACACCAGGGACATTACAGAAGCTAAATATTTCCACGAAATAACTGAAAAAACAAGACTGAAACTGGCCACAGAGGCAACAGTTAAGGAGCTACATTATTACCAACAATACACTGCAAAACGCCAGATCTTACCAAGTATATTGGGTCCAGTTTATAGAGCAAATAGTACACTTGAAATACAACAAAACCAACTTACAAGTTAATTTTCAACAAGATATAGGAGTTCAGTTCAAGTAAATAGTTTCTTAATCTATTGATGAAAAAGATTATTTGACTCATGAGAAGTCATTTTTGCCATGTTCAAAGTGAAATAGTCTGCCAGGAATTATTTACTTAAAACAAGCTCATATAGCTTGGTGAAAAGTTACTTGTCAGCTAGTTTTGTCTTATTTCAAATGTTCTAAGACATTTGTATTAAAAACTAAATTAATACTTGGTAAGATCTGGTGTTTTTTCAGTCTACTGGTTGTTTCATACAATCTGCTGTAATCTCCATATATCTGGACTAAGAAATCTTAATAAAAAAGATAAAAGTGCACTCATAAAAAAATTAGGTTTAGCTCATAAATGATAAAACTCACCAAAAGAATGCCACAGCTACAGTGAAACATGGTGGTGGCAGCATCATGCTATGGTGTTGCTTTAGGTGGAACTGAGATTTTTGTCCAAATGGATGGAGTTATGAACACATACAAATGACTCATAATATTCAGTTATTTGAGCTGAACATGAAGACAAACTGGTTGTTTTATAACCCCAGGATTTATTAACAAAAGGAAGACGCATGTTGGTGTTGTTTAACCAGAGCACATTTATAGTTGTGTGTCCTACATGTATTATTACACATAACAGCAAACATCTTATCTGGCAGTTGTTGGATCATCTGACAGTTAGTTTAACCTCGTCACCAGATGCAGAGGATGACATGTTATTTAACATTACCGGCACTAGCAGAAGGCTGAAAAGGCCATGCTAATGGTTACAATGTAGTGCTCAGCATGTGGGAAGTGCAGATGTCAAAGTGGCACAAAGTTGGATGCACTGGGTACATGAGGGCACCCACACACTCAGAGTCATCCCACTCCAGGCTGCAAACACTTAAATGGCATAGCTCAGATGGCTGGCACAGATGTCATGTAGTTCTGAGAGCTTTTTGCGCAAAACAATCGCCTATCTCAGGCTTTGGCTGCTGGCACAGAATGAAACTCTTTGTAAATTCAACAACCCAGCCTTCCTGAGTCTGAACGTGTAGAAAGAAGCATAATAATCAAATTCTTTAAAAGAAGATAGAAAATTAATTCTGTAAACCAGATTTGAATTTCATGTATTTTGTAGTGATTTTATTTGACAGAACAGAAAAACCTGTTGTCCATTTGTATTCTTTGCCACCTCTTAGTAAAATCCAGTCCTTTCAATTGCTTTTAAAACTGAACTACTTAGTGAAGAGTACACTTGAGTGTAATTCCTTGTTTGACAGAGAATATTAGTGAACAAACAGCTTCATGAAAACCAAAAAACACAGCAGACAGGTCACAGATTGTGGCGAAATTTAAAGTAGGGTTCAGCTCTAAAGCAATATTCCCAGTTTCGGACATCTCACAAAACTCGGTTCAATCCAGTTGAACCGAGTTTTGTGAGAAAGAGTAAGACACAGTTTAAAACCTGTCAACACATGGGCATGGAGAATATTAACCAGAAAACCCTGGAGGAGTAGCAGCAGCGCAGATGGGATGACCTGTTAACTACTCACTCACTCCAAAAAGCAGCAGAAAGTTATTATTAAAAATGAGAGAAAATGAAAATATTTAAGCAGTATGACTTCATTTGAATGGCACTGTAGCTCTTCTGACTCTCTTTAGCTTCAAGAAGTGTTGTAAAAGTTCAACATTTTCAACTGACTCAAAATTCAGTTCACAGATATTATCTGCTAAATAGTGCTGCACCTCGTTTCAGGTAATAACAACTTCAAGGCGTTGTTGCATTTGTAAACTAGATTCAGCCTCTTTTAGGTTTAGCTCTGCATATATAAAACTGATTTTGTTTGAGCACAACTTGATTGAACAGCAACATCACGCTTGTAAAATGAAAGCATGCATCACAGTTTTTCACTGGAGAATAAATCAATAACATAATATTAGACACATGATCAATATCAATGGATAATATCTCTGATATTCAATATTCTGGGAGATGTAGGCGAAGAAAAAGACTTTAGCTGCTCACCCTTTTACGGCCAGATAAGAAAAGTTAGTGGCAGCAACTGACTCACTCACTCTCTGGTTACCTAGCAACTCATTCATTCTTTGGTTACCTAGCAACAACTTGTTGAGTAACTGGCACGAGCAGTTTCAGTTTCCACCACTGTGCCTCATAACTGCTAAGAAATAAACAGCAGCATGGAGCGAAAACTGGATAAAACAGGAAATGTCACACCAGCAGCTTAGCAGGATTTCAGATATTTAAATTTAAAAAATAAGCAATCATTATTGATATTGACTGATGTGACAAGCTTATATTGTGATAAGTTTTTCAGCCACATCGTCCAGCCATGGTTCAGATTTCACAGAAATGTCTCATGAATGCACTAAGCTGAATATCTCTGAGCACAATACTGCCTACTTTTAAGTCTGTGCATCTTTCATGATAGGAAAATTGAGCCAAAACACCCAAACAAACTGAGAAATGTTTGCCTGGAAGCCATAATTCATGTTATGCCATAGTTATACGTTCTAATTTTATTCAGTCTTCTTCATGTATTATTTTTTTCCTGTGGCTTCTAAAGATGTTTTATGTGTCTAATTACAAACTACAAATTTTAGTTGCATCTACTTTAGCTTCTGCAAAGCAATTTGTGCTAAAATCATGCGTACTTGCTGGTCTATCCTCCCAATGCATCTTACAAATGAAGAAGTTGTTGAAAATAGTTTGAGATTTTTAAGTCAAAAGCAGTAGCGCAGATGAAAGCAGAGATCATGGAGCCAAAGCAGAGAAAATATGCTTCTCTTTCCTCTTACCGAATGTTGTGGGACTTGCGTTTGATCTCATTCCAGCAGAGGTTCATCTCTCCTGTTTGGTGGGGACTGCTTCCTCTCAGTCTCCGGCACTCGGTCGCCTCCTCTGGCCCCTCACCGTCCACAGTGGACTGGCACGGCACACACCGGCATCCCGGCCACGAGGGCCGCCCCGCAGCTACACAAGCAGAGGAGCACAGTGTGTGTTTGTTACAGGACGACCCTTCTGAATTTACTCTCTGATTATTACATGGAGGTGAGGTAGTGGATATAAAACAGCACAGGCCTGACCAGCACTTCGATCCTTTGACCTTCCCACAAATGGAGATGATGTCCCACATTTTCGCCCCACAACCTTTTCTCTGAAGTCAGTGGTGCCACAGTTCTGACCCGTATTCAGAAGAATTTTGTCTTGAAGTCTTAAAGGGAACCTATTGTGCCTCTATGGGCAAAACAAATCATGTTCATTGCATTTTTTGCACAAAATAATTCTTAGATAATAAGATTTTAGTGTGGTTGGTTCAGGATGAGCTGTTTGCTTTGTTGGCTCCAGTGGCCTTTATTTCATATTTAATTGACAGGAAAGTGGGTAATGAGAGAAGGAGAAGACATGCAGCAGAGATCAGCAGGCCGGGAATCGAACCTACGACAGCCGCGTTGAGGACTAGGGCCTCCATATGTGGGTTGTGCTTAACTCCTCTGCCACCACAGCACACCCCAGAATGAGCTGTTTTAAGGCGTCTTGTCACTTTAAATCTAGATAATTTGCTCCTGGCCACGTCCCCAACTCAACATTTACACTCACATGTGAACATTGTTGCAAGCAGATGTACAATTATGCAACTGTACATCTTTGAAAAGCAGTAGTAGAGCCTCCTGGACAACCAACAAGAATGCAATAAGTAGTTTCTGAAAGTAGGGCAACAACAAAACCAGCAGTCTTTTCCAGCAGCCATTGTACAGTGCATCCAGCGGTAAAAACAGCTGACCAAATGTGCTGGAGCTTAAATTGGGATAACTAGGTAACTTGTCTGGGCTTTGTGCTTTTTAAGCACTTAAGCAGTTTTTAGAAACTTTGCATAGGTTATCTTTATGATCCAAATTCCCACATCCCCCAAACTAAACTTTGAGCAAAATTGGGTCTTTCAAATAAAAAAATAAGCCTGTATGTACAGTCAAACTAGTTGCAAAGTAATTTAAGAACAAAAAAACTAAACTTTTGGCATAGCTATCACAAAACCCTGATGTCAGTTCCATAGAAAATTTGTGGCAGACATGAAAAGGTGTTTGAACGAAGCAGCCTAAAAACCAGACTTATTTACAGCTGCTCTGTCTGTCAGGGGTGAATGGGCCACAACTCACCAGCAAACTGTGGTGAGAAGCTTATGGCAGAAATACCAAAACATTTTACTAAAATCAGACTTCAAGCATGCAAGGAAATCAAAAGGCAAAATCTACCAAATGTATATAAACTCACAATTCTGCCTTAAAAATGTTTTTTATTGGTTTCCTGTAACATTCTGATTTAAAATGCTGTCATTTCATAAAAAGGAGTTGAAATAAATGAACAATTCAATAATATTCTGAATCAATGCATTAGTGCTGTGTGTAAATGTAATCCTCTGACATTTTCACGGCCCTTGAAATATAAGAGTGAAGCATATATTACAACCAGGCAGTCCTTGTTTTAGTTATATAATGCAAACATTTTTATTACGTTTGCGAAGTAACATATTGTAAAGTTCTTACATGAATCTGTATCAAAGGAAAGAAATGCAACACTGTTAAAATATGAATCAATACTATTACACAGATGTACTCAATTGAAGCTATATTTAATAAGTCTGTCCTGTGTGTAAAAGGAAAAACCCTGAATCTCGACACAGCAGCGGTTTTATCCCATTATTCCATTCCATTAAACTCTAAAAAACAAACGCAGACAAAAAGCTTCTTTTATTCCAGACTTTTAGAGTGTGAGGGCATGTAAGGCAACATGAAGAAGTGCAATCCCCGCGATGGACCAAAGAGGAGAAAAAACCAAGGGAGAAGCCCACGCGCACCGACACACAAACAGAAAACACACTCACACACTCAAATGAGTGGCTTTCAGGGCAGCAGGAGCCTTTCTGCGTTCACAGGTCCTGGTGTGAGGTTTCTCTATTTTTTATGCAATTCACAACATATGATTGAACACCAGCTGTGCTTCCAAAAACGCCCTCAGACACCTAAACCTCCCATACTGTATGCAGACGTGCACAGACTGTGATCGGGCTGCGTTTGATCAGTGTGTTCTTATCAGGGGGTTTGCAGGAAAACTAAGCCTATAGCACTGACAGCAGCAAACATCCATCTGCTGCAAAAACACACACACAACTCTGGCTCAGATGTTAAAGAAGCTCTGTTTCAGGCACATAGTGCCATTTTATTACACAATCAAGTAACTATATTAGCTTCAGTTGATATAAAAATGCTATATATATATTAAATATGACTTAAAATAAATTTGACTTCTTAATTTAACGCCTTGAAATTGGGCTTCTGTCTCTTTAAGAACTCCTGCTGTTTCTGAAACTTACTGCTTTGAGTAAGTTATCACAACATCACTCCTCTACCAACCCTTTATCAATGTTTTTACTGAGAAATAGCTCGTATCACAGTAGTAACAGGTGTTTGCTAATTGCTGCTGGCTAGTCTGAAGGAGCTGAGTTTGGAAACTGAAGCTCCAAGGACAAGCTTCATCTTGTCCTTGGACACAAGGACAAGATGAAGCTTGTCCTT